CTGCTGTCCACAAGGTAACAAACTAAGGCTGTCACAGATGCACACTAGGGTTTGCAAGTTAAAATTTAATCCTGGTCTTAGACATAGAAGTTATTTTTAAATTTAAGTGACACATGCTGCACAACAAACCCCAGGTTCTAGCTTTCACTCTACTTTTGCAGTTAACTACATGCAGTCAAAATTTAAAAGTGGCAAAGGCTAGCAGATCAAATCCATAACATTTTCAAACAGATGAATTTTATCACTCACAATGCCAAATACAAAAAGTGTATGGGAGAAAGAGTAGATTAATACAGGCATTCCTGTATTTTCATTACTGATGGAGGAATACTCCCCAATTGTGAAAAGCTATTGCCACCATCTCTGGCTTCCAGCAGTATCTGTGACACACCTCCAGAGATGAAACTCCTCCACTCTCCAGATGGAATGCTCGCTTTCCTCCCTACTCTGGCAGCTATCCTTACAAAATCATCTCCACCTCTTCCCCCAACTCCTAGCTCTGCTGCAGCCTAAAAGATGGAGACCTTCTCCAATGTGCCTGGGAGGAACAAGTCACCATTTGTCCATAGGAAGGAGAAATGATGTTCTTTGTGTAATATATTAGGTGAAGTGCAGGTTATAGAGGGTTTCCTGGGAAGCCTTTTATAAGAGTTTGTATTCAGGTTCATGAATAACAGTTTATCAAGCTTAACATTATTAATATTTTGGGCTGGATGATTCTTTGTTGTGGGCTGTCCTGTGCAATGCGGGATACTTGGCAGCTTCCCTGAACTCTACCCACTAGATGCCAGTAGCACCCCATCCCAGTTGTGACAACCAGACATGTCTCTAGACATTGTCAGATGTTCCTGGGGGGTTGGTGTATGGGTGGGGACAAAATAAACTCCAGTTCATAAATATGTAATAAAGAATATTTATATTCAAGAAATTGCCTTTAGTAGGTATAAAGAAAGGATTAAAGAAAATCTATCCAAACATACTCAGTGAAATGAAATAATCTCAAATTTTTGTTAGGGAAAAAATAATTTATAGTGATCCTTTAATTTGGAGGCAATAAGACAGAAGGTTGGAACCTAGGCTTTGAAATCTATGTCGATATATATTGACTAACTACCTATGTGATCTTGGCAACCTATTTAATGCCTCTTTCCTTAGGTCCTTACCTAAAACGTAAGGATAACTAGTAGTATCTATCTATCTCACAGGGTTGTTGTGATAATTAAGTGACATAATGCACACAATGTGCTCAGCACAGTACCTGAAATGAGTAAGCCTTCTCCACATCCTTGAACATGTCTCAGGGCGTTCACTCTCGGATGTTCCATGTGCCCTGAACACACTTCTCCCTCCTCTTGGCCTGACTAGTTCCTTCTCATCCTCCAAGTCTCAACTTAAGTAATTCCTCTTAGAAAGGTCTCTCTGTCGGCCGGGCGCGGTGGCTCACACCTGTAATCCCAGCACATTGGGGGGCCGAGGCAGGCGGATCACGAGGTTAGGAGATTGAGACCACCCTGGCTAACACGGTGAAACCCCGTCTCTACTAAAAATACAAAAAATTGGCTGGGCGTGGTGGCGGGCGCCTGTAGTCCCAGCTACTTGGGAGGCTGAGGCAGGAGAATGGTGTGAACCCGGGAGGCAGAGTTTGCAGTGAGCCGAGATTGTGCCACCGCACTCCAGCCTGGGCGACAGAGCAAGACTCCATCTCAAAAAGAAAAAGAAAGGTCTCTCTGTCTAATCTCCCAACAGCCAATCTCTATTGTGATGATCAGCCATAGCACTGCTAGTAATACTCACCTTATCTTATAACTTTTTATGTTTCCCTTACTATAAGTTCTATAAAGGCCAGAATCATGTTTGTTTATTCAACACTGTGTCCTCAACATCTAGCATGGCGGCTGGCCCAGAGTAGGGGCTCAACAAATGTAACTATATGAAAGAATTAATGAAGGAATGAATATACAAGGCTTTTATTATATTATCATCCTCATCATCAAGGTTTATACCGAGTAGACTTAACTACTCTCCTGTTTTCTAAAAGTATTTACTTTTTAAATTTTAAGATCAAAATGTCACAATAGTATTAACATGTGAAATAATTACAATAGACCATTTGGTTGAGCATCAACAGTCATGCCTGGGGAGCTGTATAAAGCCTAACATTTGCAGGATTACACAGAGCTGGGCAGTTAACCATCCTGGGGGAGTCTCACACTATGAATGACCTGGAAGACCTCATTCTACGAGAGTGGCCCTGGCAGTTCTCTCTGTCTGTGCCTTGGGAGCCCTGGCTACCACACTGTGGGTGAGACTCAGATCCTCTTCTGGGCCCACTGGGTCAGCCCTCTCTGTACACTCTGGAAGAAGGAATACTAACTTTGTTGTTGGTTCACTAGCAAAGCAATATTTTGTCTTGAAATCAAACCACAGTTAAAGTATATTTGCTTTAAAATAAAGGAAACAATAGTAAAGAAATATTCAGAGAAAGAAGACCAATGCAAGCATAGGGCCACTGATACTTGGAACCATGTTGTTAAAATGAAATAATAAAAAGTTAATAATAAACTTTTTAACATATTATTTTTCATACTCTGTTAAGGGGGAAAATGGTGAATTGAAAAAGAAATAAATACTGATGACAATCATTTGAACTCTGAGGTGGCCAAAGAGATCCCAAGAGTCATTTAATTTTACCCAGCTATTTCAACTATGTTCAAGTTTTCAAAATATCTCTTTTTAAAAAGTGATTTTTTAAAAAGTCATGGATAATGATGGAAAATGAGGGACACCTGTAGAGCTGAATTTGAGACTGTGACAGACCCTGCAAGCTGATGAAAAATGCTGTTTGACACCAAGATAAGATACTAAAGTGGATCACTAAAGAGACAGCGTGAGTTAGGACCAACCCACGCTATCAGCGCATTCAGTACGTGTTCAGACTAACCTCAAATTAGAAACGTAGCAGACATCATGTATCTGGGCTTTGGCAAAAAGTCTTTGATAAAGAGTCTCATGATATCATTTCAAAAAAGATAGAGAAACATGGGCTGAATGATATTAACAGTTTATTTAAGAGAGATTTCTATGCAACTGAAGAATTGCACAAAATGCAACCGTGTCCATGTGAGAGCATGTTCTAGAGCTTAGCACTGCGCTGCTGTCCTGTGCATTTCTGGCACCTTTAATGGAAATCTTCTAGAACAGAGGCTGGCAAAAAAAAAAAAAATTCTGTAGCCAGATGGCAAATATCTTAGGCTTACATACAGTTTCCCTCACATGTTTTTCTTGAAAAATAAAAATAAAAATTTTACAATCATTCTTAGCTCTAGGGCTGTATAAAACTAGGGCAAGTCATATTTTCCCATGGGACATAGTTTGCCATCTTCTGTCTAAGGGTGTGTCAAACTTGAGGACATGAGGGAGAATAAATATATTGCTTGACAGAATCAGGATCCATACAGACACCGTGAGGCTCGTGGCACATTAGAACTGGAAGGGACCTGAAACCTGGAGATCATCTGGGCAAAGACCTCCTGATCTGTTCACTGGTCAAACTGGGATATCCTGGGATTATGGGCTGGCAAAAATATATAGAAAAAAATGCATGGGCTTCTATTTGAAGTCCCAAACTCCTAATTATATGAGAACAGGGTGGCTGTTTATGACTTGACAGTTGAACCAGTGAAGGATGGCATTTTAGCCAACGGTCAGCCAAATATGGGTCAAGAGTGTGATGTGGTTCTAAACTCCAGTATCCAGAATAAGATAGCACCTTTCAACTGCTTGCCCTGGAGTGTCATGGCAGTAGTCACTGTTACAGTATGTGAGGAAGGTTGAAGAAATTGGAGGTGTTTAGACTGGAGGATGCAAATAACAGGATTTTACAAACTGCAGAGCACAATAATGCTATACGAGTCAAGAATGAGCTGGTTCTTATTGTGAGCCTTGACTGGGAGAGCAGGCAGCAGGGGAGAGAAGTTCTGGTGACAGCTGCCCACAGTGCCTATGGCTGCTGGGACACTGGATGGAATGTATTTCAGGTGCTTAATTCTCTCTTTAGGTCAAAAAGCATAAAATATTTGTCAGTAGAAGGGTCTATTCATTATTCCTCAATCAATAGTCCAACATCTCAAGGAAAAGGACGTTTAGGAAAGAAAGCACTATCATTATGACCAGACAAACAGTGTGGTCCCAAATGGAAACTGGGGAACTCCACACCTACACTATGCTTAACTCTTTCTTCCCTTATCTGTCCTAAGTCTAACTTTGCCTTCTGTAGATACAACACATCAACTCCTACTAAATCTGCTCCTTTTTGTATATGACAACCCTTGAGATATTTGAAGACATAAACTCCCTAAATCTTTGCTGCTTCAGGAAACAGATCATTAACTTCTACAGTTCATTAAATATCACACATGCCATAGTTTCCAGACTGCCACATCCTATGAGATCAATTCATAGTTTAAAAAATTATTTTTGTATGTGTGGTTCCATTTGATCCTGTGGAGGAAGGGAAAGTTTCATTCTCATTCTCTCTCTAGAGAGAGAGAGATAGGCAGGCAAGTCATCTGAACAAAGTCCAGGAAATTTGCATAACTTGTCCAAGACATAGAGCTATAGGGTGTGAGGTCCAGGATTATTACCAATTCTTTTGAGTTATAAGCCCATGCTCTTCCCTATCCTGTGTTAAAGGCTACACAGCTAAAAGGGACTCAGTGTGGTTTGCAATATGGTAATAGAATCTTCAGCAGCACATACCACTGGGTAAATGTGCTGAATCCTCCTGAATAGAAACAATACAAGCGACAGGAGAGGGGTACAGAATGACCAATGTGGGAATCTTTTCTCCAGTTCAAATCATCTTGGTTCTTTTACCCTCTATTCTTCTATTTCAGTCCATCATGAAATTTGTAGAGCAACTCCCTAAGACGTAATAATATTTACCAAATAAAACTTCAGAGATATCAAGTTCATACTGACCCAGAGTCCTTTATACAAACCTGTATTTGAAGCTGGAATTGTGGGTGAACAGTTCTCCTTGGCACATGCTTCCATCATGGTAGTTAAAGTCATGGTAGGCACTTGATGACTGCCTAAGAAAATACAAAGTAGTACATAATATAGAGTCAAATATGCACCTGATGAAAACTGAACCTACAGTTCTAAAGATATGTAAATTAAAGCCATTCATACTACAACTTAGCTGTGTTCCTAAAGTCCTGGGAAGTTAGTATGGAATTCTGAACACAGTTTTGCCTATTGAAGCAATTTTATAAATGGAGAATAGGTTCATAGCCCAACCCACTAAAAGGCTTTTATACCTTTTTTAAGTGGTTGAGATAAAGTATTAATACTGTAGACCTTTACAACCATGTGTAATAACGTTTCTATGGGCAAACTCATTCAGGGTTCTGACTTGGGATGCCAGGAACGTATTTCCCTCAATGCAGTTAGCAGTCCCTGAGCCCTAAGCCACTGGTCCCTACAGCTGAGGCAGGGACTGCTGCTGGTAGTGGTTCTAATGGTCAGGTACAGGCTCTAGGGAACTAAGGGCATCATATGCCTTGGGGAGCAAGAATCTTCTGCCAGATCTGTGTTCAGGATCTTCTGTTCTTCCATAGTCCCCAGGAATCTATCTGCTTCCTGGCTCACCACCTATTTTCCTGACCCAGAACAGAATAGAAAATAGGCACCCTCCTATTCGTATGAAACAATGTTTCGTTTTTAAAAGTGTTTCTGTTAGTAACAAATATGAAGTAAAGAGGTTCCTCTCAAACCTATTTTTCACATAGAGCCATCAAGGGAAATCTTTATGATGGAGAGACAAGAGTGGATCCAACAAAGGTTGTAGCAGTATTGGCGTGCATTTCCCAGCAATGCCACACCATGGTTACCCTGACTCTGACTCATCAGCTGAGATGGGGTAGAAGTGGCAAAGGAAAGCTGGAGTTTGGAGGAAACATGAGGAGGCAGAGTGAGGCTGAGAGAGCTAGTGTCCTCCCCAGAAAGGGTCCACAGATTTACCTCCATCCCCTGAGGGTGGGCACATCTCCATTAGCCCTGAGTTGAGGGTGGGTGGGTGTGGGGGTCAGAAAGTGAGAGGAGAGGAGTATGCCCTGTGGCCATTCCCTTACTTAAAGCATTCCCTTACTTACTGAAGCATCCTGCTAGGCTCCACAGGCCCAGAGCTGAGGCTTGGGAGAACAACTGTCAACTAGAGGACATGGAGATAAATCTGTGGACCCTACAATTGAATGGAGAGAGTGAAGTACAGATTTTTTTTTAATATAATACATTAGAGGAGGAAGAAGTGAATTCTAGGAGGGGGAAAAAAAACAGAAAGCTTTTTGGAAAAGGATCCATCTAAAGGAGTCATAGGACTTAGATTCATCAAGGTAAGGCAGGGAGCAAAGGGGGGATTCCAGGTGCAATTTGTCTGACAAAAGGCGCAGAGGTCAACAAAGGCATGGACCAGCCAGAGTGACCAGAGCTACCAGCCACTACTTTAAACCAAGAACCCCACATCCAGTGCAGATCCAAAGGCTGTGAACCAATGAGAGACAGTGAGAGCTGTGGTTGGAATGAATAATTTGGGCAGGCAGAAGAGAGGCTGCAGGTGGGGAAGCTACATGGCGGCTCCTGCAGAATTCTGGGTGAGTGGAAATGAAGGTGAGAAACAGAAGGGTGAGAAACAGGAGAGTGGCCCTGAAAATGGGGAAGAGGGACAGGTGTGGGTGAGAGAAACTATCACCTCCACTTCTCAACACATCCTTCTCTCCAAGTTCACAGACTTTTCTAAGACACCAATTTCCTGATCATTGCTTAAGTGGCAGCTACTTCATCTATCAAGCCAGATTCCTCTGGTCCTACAGGCAGGATCTGTGTTTCCAATGGCATTTGCCAATTACCCATCCTCTCCTCTCACAGGACCCTGTGATGGCTTTACCATTCAGCTTTAGAACTCTCAACCTCTCCCCGTTGCTCCCACCAACTGGTTTTCTGATCTTTTCTTCTCATTCGCTAAAGAGTTGCATACTTCTCTCCAAATTTCACTGGCTACCCAGGGGTGTTCTCAATAATGTCACTCAATATACAGTCAACTTTGCAAGTAAATAGTGTTCAATACATGAAAGAATAAACTTAGCTCTGTGTATCAATAGAGACAATATATGGCATTAGACATGAAATTTAAAATATTGTGAAAACAAGGGTGTTTTTCCTAGGGCATCATGTCATGTATAATCTCAATCTATGAAACAAACACTCTTAATCTATGAATAATCAAGGGTTTTTAACAGTTAACTTTGTTAACTGTTCCCATATGCTGGGTTTTCATCGTATTTATAAAATCTTATTTAACAGCATTCTATATGAATGTGCATATATTTTTAATAAAGAGCTTGAAACTTCTGGTCTACTGTTGTCCATTTTGTAAAAAACAAAAAAAAAGAAAAAAGGCATTTCTCCAAGGAAAATATTTATATTCATAATACAATGATAACCAAGTTACTTTTTAAAGAGCACAAAATATTTGCCACTTGATTCATAAGACAATAACTGCTGCACGCATTTTGAATTCATAAATTATGATTCAGCTTTAGACTCAATCTGTACTGAGTTACTCAGTGTCATCATGCCTCAAATCTAGTAAGTAATTAATATAATTAATGTGGAGGTTTTGGGAAGCAGACAGTCTATATATATATATACACACACATACATACAAACACAGGTCCCTATATTTACACCTGTAAAATTCTGGGAAAAGTAACATTTAAGGAAGAAGAACAAGAAAGACAGTAACAGAAAATACTTTATGTTCTTGTGAATAAAGAATAATACCTAGGTATAAAATTCAGGACAGTCTCAAGTTTAATAACTTCCAGTCCACATATATGATGTTTCCATTCTGTGCTTCGATGACTGAGACTTACTAATAGACTTAAATGACATAATCTAAGAAAGATACTACCATATATCATCAATTTAGTAATTAGGAAATGTTTGTTAAAGGCAAGAGAGAATACCATTTTCCAGGCATCACTAATTAAATCCTAGTTTTATATTTAATGGCTTGAGGAGAAAGAGTGTCATATTTTGGTTTCCATTCTCTACAACCCATAGTCAACAGAATCACCCAGAGAAACCATTAGCAAAGCGCAGAACTATGATTTCTACCCAGCAAAGCAGGAGAGGAGGAAAAAGAATAATAAACTTCAGAAGCTTAACCAAAACAATACAAGGTAGGAAAGGGGGAAAAACACTTTAGAAAGCTCAATAAATAAATCAAAATAACACAGAGAGAATAAAGCCTAACACCACAGGAATCACATTGATTATAAATGGATGGTGTCTAACCAGTAGCAACAAAAATAAAGAGAGTATTAAAGTTCTGAAAGTCACACACTGATAGATTTGGCCCATTAATCCCAATATTTTGAGCATGTCTTCTTTGTTTTGCTCAATATTTTGAGCAAATTTCTTATGATCTGGTGGTTTCAAATCAAAGCATTTATCATTTTCAATTATTTAAGTATAATATTATATACTATGATCAAACATGTATGGAATAATGATTGTGAATGATGCTAGCTGTTACTTTTGGGGAGACAGGGAAAAAGAGGAAGAAAAGATTTTTAAAGTTATTATCCTGCACTGAAGTTGCTGACTATCTTTTGGATGGGGGGGTGTCCTCAGCTTTATTGAAACTTTTTTGCTTGTTTGTTTGTTTTGTTTTGTTTTTTGAGACGGAGTCTCGCTCTGTCGCCCAGGCTGGAGTGCAGTGGCCGGATCTCAGCTCACTGCAAGCTCCGCCTCCCGGGTTTATACCATTCTCCTGCCTCAGCCTCCCAAGTAGCTGGGACTACAGGCGCCCGCCACCTCGCCCAGCTAGTTTTTTGTATTTTTTAGTAGACACGGGGTTTCACCAGGTTAGCCAGGATGGTCTCGATCTCCTGACCTTGTGATCCGCCCATCTCGGCCTCCCAAAGTGCTGGGATTACAGGCTTGAGCCACCGCGCCCAGCCTATTGAAACTTTTTACTGACACTGAGCTAGGATGATGTTTCTCGTGTAAGTATTTCCCTGTACACACTGACAGCTAATATACAGCCTAAGAGTATTTCACATTCCTGACTCTTAGTAGTAAACAAACATATTCTCAAAGGAATAAAAGAAAACATTTCCTCCATTCAGGTTTATCTGTAAACATATTCTCAAAGGAATAAAAGAAAACATTTCCTCCGTTCGTGTTTATCTGTAATCCTGTTAACAAGCTACACACAAGTCATATCTGCCATCATAGAAACCTCATTTAGTGGTAATAGCAATACCTGTAACAGGAGTTCGGTTTTTCAGCCTATCAACTTCCATAGTGAAGTCATCCTTCAAAAAAAGGAACCCAATAATGGAAAACAGGTAGACGAGGATGAGAGCCAGGACTGCAGTTAGAATAATAGAGCGGCCATTTCGTGTGACACTTTTTATGACATTCAGCAGAGTCTCTTCTCTGTACACCAAATCAAAAAGCTACAAAGATAAAGAAAACACTAATAAGAAAAGAAGGCATTGGAGGAAAAGGTGAACAAACATAAATATAATTACAAATACAAATGCAAACCATTCTAGTTTATATATAAAGAAATAACCTAAACCACCTTAAAATGAACCAAAGTATTTATTTCTTCTCCAGCTAGACTATATTAATAAACTGTTTTTCTGTAAAGATACATATAGCACAACATATAATGTGAATCTGTGGGTTTCATAACCAACATAATATCAATTTACTAAAACATTATAAAAATAGCTTAGTTTTACATTTGAATTCAGAAAAGTTATATTGTACTTTACCAACTGAGCTACTTATTCTTTATTTTTGGTCTTACTGATATTCTGCAGTTACTTCTGGAATATGTAAAATGGCTTAAGTGAGAATGCAAATTAGGTCCTCGTAAGTGATGAATAATTGAGAAATTCATTAAGTGTATTATTTAATCAAGGGATTAGAGGTGAAATTGTAAGAAGAGTTTCATGAGTCTGATGCAGTGGGAAAAGTATGAAATTTAAAAATATTTGGAAAATGCAAACATCCTTCCTTAGTAACAGGGTATAATGAGGAAAAAACCTATTACTTAAGTATATACTTGGAAATGGAAGTAGAAACAAAAATATAATATGTAATTTTGCTAATTGACTTTCTCTAATAGGTTACTACCTATTTTGTCTTCAGTAATAGAAAATCTACGCACTAGTCAAGCTCTGTGTTTGCAATCTGTAGTAGACACTAAGGACAATTTAATTTATTGCTACATTATAAAGTTGAAATTATACATTAGAAAGTACATGTTTTATTATTAAAATCTGGTTAAATGCAATAAAATCACATTCACTTTTAGAAAGGTATAAATGTCTGTTTGGAAATGAATAGTATTTAAAAAATTGGAATAATTGGAGTTTGTCTTCTATCTGTGGGCAGTAATTAGAGTTTCTGAACTGGCTGAAATGATCAATTATGTGTCATATACCCTTTCAGGGCCTTGGTCTATTTTTTTTCTGAGTACTGAGGGTTATACAGTTACTGTCCAATTTAATTGTAGTCTTGCAAATAATTGCTATCTAGATATTAACTTGTTTGCTCACCTTAGGAAACTGCTATTTTATGATGGTTAATTTTTTTTAAAGTCTATTTTGCTATCTATTTACCTCCTGGAAGGAGCAGTCAGCTTTAGAAATAAAGTCAATATTCTTCAGTACAGACAAATTAACTAATGCACATTCAACTTCCAAATTGTCAACATTGTGGCTTATTAAATTTATTTAAGCAGAAAGTTGACATAGTCGAGATTTTTCTTTAAGTTAACTCTGCAGAGGTTTAAAGAAAAAAAAATCTGGCAATGTGCTGTAGTTCAGCTCTAGAGAAGGTTTATAGCTTTCAGAAGCTCCTGGGATGCTTGCTAAAAATTCATATGCCTGGGTTCCATTCTAGGCCCATGGAATCAGAATCTTACAAAAGCTGTTGACATTGGGCAGGCTGATTGTTCTTTCCATTTATTTCTGAAAACAAAATCTAGAGTGTGGTTTTTATTATTCTGGATAAAGGACTGACAATTTTGGGTACAACAGGGAATTAATATTCACATATTTTTCAAATAAAAAAAATCTTTAAAAAATATGCTTACATATGATTTTTGGTATTATGTATATTACGATTTTCTTCTAGTACTCTAAACATCAAAATAGACTATATCCTTTTCAGAACCAACCCAATAAGAACAAACTAGCATCAATACTGTAAGATTTGAAAGATAAAAGACCAGAGGAAAATACAATTAGAAAATGGGGTTAGTAAAAACATAAACATGAGTACATAATTTCACATGTTTTTCGTATTATCTGATATGGTTTGGCTCCACGTCTCCACCCAAATTTCATCTCGAATTGTAATCGCCATGTGTCAGGGGAAGGACCTGGTTGGAAGTGACTGGATCATGGGGGTGATTTCCCTCATGCTGTTCTTGAGATGGTGAGGGAGTCCTCTGGAGATCTGATGGTTTTTAAAGTGGCAGTTTCCCCTGTGCTCTTCTCTCTTTCTTTTGCCACCATGTAAGACATGCCTTGCTTCCCCTTCAACTTCCACCATGATTGTAACTTTCCTGAGGCCTCCCCAGCCATGTGGAACTGTGAATCAATCAAAACTCTTTTGTTTATAAATTACTCGGTCTCAGGTAGTATCTTCATAGCCATGTGAGAATGGACTAACACATTCTCTGTTTAATGGATCTTGATATTCCTAGTCTCCCATAGTATCCCTATCCATTTTATAAACAAGAAAGTTGAGCACAAAAGCATTATAAATTCATCAAATCCTATACATTAAATGGGTAGAGCTTTCTGTATGTCAATCATACTTTAGTAAAGTGGTTTAAAAATTATAGAATATTACATGTCAGGTAAAAGTGCTGGGTATAATAGGACTTTATATATCACAAACAGGTTAAAAAATGAACTTTTTCTGGTGAATCAGGGCAAAAAGAATTCATATAGATTGTTAGAACAGAAAAAATATCTACTAATGAATAATCTAACTTAACTGCCTATAAGTTTATATGAAAATACAATAGACAAATCTACTCTTCACTGTGGCTCTTTCAAATGTTTGAGGGTATATGGAAAATTGGCCTCATTTCAGTCTTCTCAAATGGGTGTGCTAGATAATAGGGAGGCAGGAGGTGCTGGATTTGTCCCTCATGACTCAGCCAAATTTTTCAACAAAATGTTTTTAGATCTTTAACTTGTTTTCAGGGATCATCTCATTGGACAATGCTCTCCACTGCATGCCAACTATGAACTGGAAAGATAAATAAATTGTTCCTATAGCATCATGATGGTAACCTGGTAGTGCTTTTTAAGTTTCAAAATATTATCACATATGTGTATTGACTCCTCTCCTGGTTTATGGCTATAAACCAGTACATATGTAGGAAGGTAAATCAGAATTTTTTTAAAAAGCAACCTTTAGAAAAAAAATCTGAAAGAGCTGCTTAATGAGTTAAATATATGTAGATAAGTTTAACAGCAATGACATATTAAACCGAAAACTAAAAGACTGTTCTTAAAACAACTGCCTTTTTGCTATGATTTTTTAAAATTCCCCTCATTTTACTTACATGCCACTCTAAAGGTACACACAATTTTTGATATTATAAATAAAATACAGTGATTTCAGTACCGAAGAAAATATACTCCTATTTTGTCTCCCACACTCTGTAGGAGAATCTTTAAATGTAAAGGGAAATATTAGTTGGCTGAAAGCAAAAGCAGCCCTTGTCATGTGAAGCCTGGGTCAAGAGGTGGGGTGACTGGTTGCTTCTCAGAGAGGAAATAAAGAACTCCACCACCTGTGTGGTTTCCCAAAGAAAAAAAGACTACGAATGATAATAATTCACGCTTTTCCTAGGAAATTCTAAAAATAACATAATTTGTCCTAAATGTCAGGCTTTGCTTAAAAAAAAAATCAAAGGAAGAGGCATAAGAAGCAGCAGTATTGTGTACTTTTTCAGCAGTGATTGTCCACATAGCGATGTACTCACCAGGAAGCTATAGAAGAATTCATGGACAAAAAGGCCCAGCATGCAAACCAGGACATACGCCACGTGATAGAGAAAGGCCATATCCAGGATGACTGCTCGGTACCCACGGGTGAACGTGCCACGATTTCCAACAAAACTCACCAGAAATACAATTTTATTACAAAGCTAAAGGGAGGAAAGGATTAGAGATTACTGTCTTATTTATCCTGAAACTCACATGAAGGAAAACTATTATTCATGAAGTCCATGACTTTTTGACATGGATGAAACTATTATTCATTAAAATCTATGACTTTTTGACACGGATGAAAACTATTATTCATAAAGTCCATGACTTTTTTCATAATTTCTCATTTTATAGTTCTTCAGTATTGCTTACAAATTGGCAGGTAAACATTACACATGCAAAACTTGCATCCTTTGCAGCTTCAGGAAGAGAGAGAATGATAAGAGACTATGCAATCAAGACAGGTCTGGATTTAAATCTTGGCTCTTCCATTACTGTTGTATGACCTAGTCCATGCAGTTGAAGGACTTAATGGTTTATTCTGAAAAACTGGAATAAAAGAATTTCCACCTCATAGAACCCCTCAGATGATTAAATGATATAATACGTATGAAGTCCTTAATACAATGACTCCTAAAAATATTACTTTTATTATATTTTTATAGTAACTGTAATATGTAAAATGTTTTTATTATGCTGTAAATATAACAGAAAAATATCTTTTCAGAAAATATCCAGAGAGCTGTTCTTGATTTTGTGTTTTCATTCTGGACTTTGTCTACTGAGTAGTATTTTAAACAAGTAAGTGATTAAAATTAAAATTATTTTTGCATTTAATTTACTTTATATACATAGAAAATATAAATATACTTACATACCTGAGTCAAATTAATGTATGTATATATTTTCTAAGCCCTATGTGTGATAATAATTCAATAAACATTTTGGAGTGTTTATTACGCTTCTGACCATGTACAGTATTTATATTCAAACCACATTTTATATTGCCTTTTGTGGCATAATTTTCGAATGCAGAAATTTATACTGAGATCCTTTGGCAATAACAACGATGTGTGTGCACTGATTTATAAACTTAGCACCATCTATTTAGTTCTAGAATCACTGCAGTAATTATAAACCAAAGAGCCAATTTTGTGTCTAAGTCATCAAGGAAAGAATTACAGATTTCAAGGGTTTACAGTTTGCTCTTCTTAATTGTTCCGAGTTCTTTAGGTTATCTAATGGAACCATATTTGTCCTTAAATGTCCAGTCCTAACTTTGGAAAAACAGGTTGCTCTTTGCAACATTGTTGATTTGTTCAATATATATTAACAAATTATGAGGAATGATTTTTAAATAACACAAGAAGGACCATAACACTTTGAAGTAGATGCAAAATTCGGGGGATTGGAAAACCTTTTCCTTTCCATTTCTGAAGTTCAAATCAGTACAGATGAAGTGAGAAATGGGTTACTACTACATGTTTTGAAGAGCCAACCAAATTAACATAGCAACTAAAAAGGCCAAAACTTTCCTAAATTTCTCCCCTGCTGATTAAGCATCCTCTCAATAATCAATGTTGTTACTTCATTCATGTCTTACTTCACTGTTTAGTGTTTCATCATCAATATTTTATGCTATTATTAAGGATAGCTGTAGCAGAATGGATGCCTTTATATTTTCAGCCCAAGAGCAGGTTTAATATTATAAGAACTTATTATTTTAAAACCCAGGAAATATATAAAAATGCTAATCTATATGACATATTTAACAATAAACACCCCTGAAAATGGTGAAAAAGAATGTCCAGAAGAAGAATACTCAGTAGTTATTTAAATTGTTTTGAATGCCCATTATTATTTAAATTTGTACTATTTACCTTGATTCACCCACCAGAGTTCAATATGAAATAGAAATAAGTTGTATAAAAATAAAATTAATAAATGGAGTCATGAATTTTCAGAAAGATGAATATGTTTAAGACACATTGTTTATATGATCTCTAATTCTCTAAATGAAATCATAAAAATGATGCAGAAAAACTATTTATAAGCTCCATATACTGAGGAAAAAAATACACTGAATTTAAATTATCAAAAAGAACAATACGTTTCATTTCTCAAATAATGCAAAAACAAGGCTACATTTCTTCCTAAAAGAGACTCCACCATTTTCACCTGAAAAATAAAGATTTGCCTTATTTGTTTTCAGGTTTTGGTTTTTGTTTTATTTTTGAACCTTGATCTAGAGCTTGACGAATAGATTCCTGTTCTCTTCACTAAGTCTTGACGTGGAGTGGAGTTGATACTGACAGTGGCGTCTACCTATTTCTGCTGAGATCAAAAACAGGGAACTTGGTGTCCTTTTGTTTTAAAGTGTTCATGTGAAGGGGAAATATGTGCAGGAATAAATGATTTGGGTGGGAAAGAAGTTGAACTGTGAATTCTCCTTTCTTCATGAAATTTACAAATTGTTTTCATACAGAATTTTCCATGAAAGCTTGGAATATTTATGCCAACAATGAGCAAGTTGCTAAAACAGTTTCCCTTTTCATGTCATTAAAAAGTGGACATTGTCTAACCAGTTCTTCATTTGTCAATGCCATTATAGCAAGGGTCCATGTGGGTGACGAAAAGTGGATGGTGTGCCCAGGAAACTGGGCAAGATGGTCACAAGGCTCTTCTGAGCTGGTGCTAAGAGGTTCCTCAAGTCAACACACAAATGTCAATTTGAAGGACCATAACTGTCCTATTATATATATTTTCTTACTCTGTCTATTATTCAAAGCCATCCCTGATACAGTTTTTGTTGGGGATGAGGTGAATTGTGTGATGGTGGGGAAAGGGATGGAATTGAAACAGCATCAATGCAAGCTTTGGGACAGTTTTTTAAAAATGATAATACACCATCCAAATGATTTACCAATAGGTCTTCTGGAAAAAAAAAGCAAAATTAATGTTTGTTTAATTAATGTATACTAAAGTAAGTTCATTAATTTAAATTTACTTAAATTACCTATTTGTGAATTATGAAATCATTACTAATTATTTACTAAACAACTAAATTACTTACTAATTATTTACTAAATAATTAATATATTTAATTAATTTAGTTAACAATATAGTAATTAATTAGTAAATAATTTAACTAATTAAACTATAAAGTATATATGAAAATACTACTTATTTAACCAATAATGTAACGATTATTACCGAATAATAATAAAATGCTACTTTATTGAATAATTTAACTAATTATTTAATTAGATACTTTATCAGTTAAATAAGTTATTCAAGAAAGTAGTGTTTTCATATATACTTTATAGTTATTGATATGTCTTTGCAGGACTTTTAACAGTACAGTATAGTGGAAAGACACTGAATTCGAAGGCGGGTCATCTGGTTGCAGTCTTGGCTCTGCCACTAATTTCTTGCTTTGGTAAATCCTCCTGGTGTCTATAGGACTTTGTTTTCTCATATCTAAAATGAAATGCCTAGAAGGGAATAATCCTTAAGCTCCCTCATAGCTGTAGAATTCTGTGTGATATCCTTTACATGTTACTATTTTACTTGATCACAGACATTTATAGCTGCTTTATCTTTGTCTTTACCTTATTCATTTGGTGTTATTTGGTACTCCGTCCCTGATCAAGAATTCTATCCCCATCTTACATTGTTCGTATGGGAAAACATGACCTATTTTTTAGGAATAAATCATACAAGAAAAAGACTGTCTACTTATTTATTGAAAGGTAAAACTGAATTTATGATTTTCAACTCAATTACCATATTTTCATCAACCATGTAAGTTAAACTTCTTACTAAAAATGAGATGGTTTGATTCAAAAATCTCCATTTCAGGGGCATTACATCTAAGGCAGGACAAGGTTCTAAGATCAATGTGTAAGGCAAAATTTGCATGCAGTCAAAATCACCCTGGAAATCTCTTAAATTGCTGACAAAACAGAACAGTAAGCACAGGTCATGTAAATGGTAGTGTCTCTTACTAAATTCAGCTCATCCTACTTTAACCCCAACACTGCAGCAGTTTTCTGTTTCTGCAACTAGAAGTAGTTAGGAGCATTCAGTGACCATATTATGTGAAAAAGAGTGTGTGTGTGTCTGTGTGTGTGGAGAGAGAGACAGAGAGACAGAGAGAGAGAGAGAGAGAGAGAGATAAAATGAAAGTTGTTTACTCTGAATATATCATTGAATTTGTGTAAGTTAAATGAACGTACGGTGGAACTCAACCTCACAAATTAGCAGTAACATGAGGTCTCCCAGAAAGCTATCTACAGGTAAGTAACTAGGGACATTACCCTATTAAATCTGAACACAGTGGCTCATTGTTAGTAGACTAGCTATCTGCTAAGCTCCATTTGCTTCTTCTCTCTGCAAATGGTGAGACCAAGTTATTAAATGAATTACACATTTCCAGGTACTATTAGAAAGGAAAAATCATTGTAGATAAGAAGTTTAGAAGATATTAAAAGATCTTTTGCTGATATTTTACTACATTGTTATTTATTTAAAAGTCTGAACAACAAAAATTAATGGAGTGGTTAAACAGATTATATAACACCCATATGACTGTAAATAACAGTTATTAAAATGAGATTTACAAATAATTTTAATGGCATGAAAAAATATTAAGTGACCCCGAATTTATAAAATGTGTGCTTATATTTGTCAGAATAATATATTAATTTCCATTACCAATAACCAACAATGCAGTGCAGAGGGAAGAAAACTAGACTGGGTTATAAGATATGCTTTATAACTGAGAAGAAAACACTTGGATTTTTTGAAATATCTCAAATATTGAGATCACTTCTGTGACAAGGCAAACTAGTTGAAATCTAGACCAACTGCTAGTTTTAGAAATGAATGAAGACAATAAAAAAGAAGCCAGTACTAAGTGGTTGAGTAACATAACACAGGTTGAGGATTTTCCTCCCTCTTGATTCCTTTTCCAAAAATAAGACTTTCTGCATTGGCTTAACATTGTGAAAGACAGAGTCCAGAAAAAACTCCCCGAGAACCAAAACACAAATGTTTTTACAATCAGAATAAGAATGTTTTACAATTAAAGGGTGCTTCATCTATTATTACAGATAGTTGGTAAACAGCTGCTATTGTTACTATTCTATCATTATCACCGTTACTAATCTTTTCTAAATCTTTTCAACTCACCTTCTCAACAACCCAGTGAAGATAGATCAGGCTTTAGCATCTTCCCTTCACTAATGAGAAGAATGAAATTCAAAGTCTTGCTGATTTGCCTAAAGTCTAGAACTCGGATGGTCATTAAGGCAAAACTGTCAGGTAGATGTCTTCTTCTGTTTTTCTTATTTCTGACACCTATACTTTTAGCATTTATAGTTTCACCCCTTACACAATGCAAACTTTTAAGTGTAAATAAATTAAGTTAATAAATGTACTAAAACTTAAGGTACAAAATATGACTAATTGATGTTTTCATGTATTTATTTCCTACCTCCTGGGTAATAATAAACCATAGATAGCTTTGTAGTGAACTTGTTTTTTGGTTTTTGTTTTTTCCTTTTTTTTTTTTTTTTTTTTTGAGACGGAGTCTCGCTCTGTCGCCCAGGCTGGAGTGCAGTGGCCGCATCTCATCTCACTGCAAGCTCCGCCTCCCGGGTCTACGCCATTCTCCTGCCTCAGCCTCCCAAGTAGCTGGGACTACAGGCGCCCGCCACCTCACCCGGCTAGTTTTTTGTATTTTTTAGTAGAGAAGGGGTTTCACCGTATTAGCCAGGCTGGTCTCGATCTCCTGACCTTGTGATCCGCCCGTCTCGGCCTCCCAAAGTGCTGGGATTACAGGCTTGAGCCACCGCGCCCGGCCGTTTTTTCCTTTTTGAGATGGAGTCTCGCTCTGTTGCGCAGGCTGGAGTGCAATGGCACGATCTCGGCTCACTGCAACCTCCACCTCCTGGGTTCAAGTGATTCTCCTGCCTCAGCCTCCTGAGTAGCTGGTATTACAGGCACAAGCCACCATGACCAGCTAATTTTTGTTTTGTTTTGTTTTGTTTTTGAAACAGAATCCCATTTTGTCACCCAGGCTGTAGTGCAGTGGCCTGATGTCAGCTCAGTGCAACTTCTACCTCCCGGGTTCAAGGGATTCTCTGGCCTCAGCCTCCCGAGTAGCTGGGACTACAGGTGTGCACCACCATGCCATACTAATTTTTATATTTTAGTAGAGACAGGGTTTCACGATGTTGGCCAGGTTGGTCACAAACTCCTGACCTTGCGTGATCCGCCCACCTCAGCCTCTCAAAGTGCTGGGATGACAGGCATCAGCCACTATCCCCAGCAGTGAACTTGTTATGTTAAAATGAAGGTAGATGATACTCACTAAAACATTTTTATTTTATTTTTTGTAGAGATGAGGTCTCACTATGTTGACCACGCTGGTCTCGAACTCCTGTCTTCAAGCAATCCTCCTGCCTCAGCCTCCCAAAGTATTGGGATTACAGGCATGAGCCATAGCACCCAACCTAAAACATTTTTATTAATCCACATAATATTAAACTTATAGATAAAATTTTTTCTATCTATATCTACAATATAAAAATGACAATTATTCCATTGAATGTGTTTATCCCAAATTAAAGTTGATTTTTTTTTTTTTTTTGGTCAAAATACTCTGAGCAGCCAGACACAGTGGCTCATGCATGTAATACCAGCACTTTGGGAGGCCAAGGCGGGTGGATCATGAGGTCAGAAGATCGAGACCGTCCTGGCTAACACGGTGAAACCTCGTCTCCACTAAAAATACAAAAAAGTAGCCAGGTGTGGTGGCACGCACCTGTAGTCCCAGCTACTCAGGAGGCTGAGGCAGGAAAATTGCTTGAACTGGGAGGTGGAGGTTGCAGTGAGCCGAGATCACGCCACTGCACTCCAGCCTGAGCGACAGAGCGAGACTCTGTCTAAAAAAAAAAAAAAAATGCTCTGAGTTGGTAGACCATAATGTATCATTTGATTGTGCAAACAGATGTTCTATTCTGTGAAGGTCATTAGAATCCCCAGATTTCTACAGTTAATAAGGGAGAGATGTGGCATATCTACATGTATATTTTTTCTCATAAATAAAGTGAAATATAAAACTTGCCTCTTCTATGAAGAGTCATTTGCTATAGTGGAATTATTTTCACCAAACCTGGCAAAAGCTATCTTCTTATCCTCTCCCATGAGGGGGAAAAATATACCAAATGTCTTTGGTTTCCCCTAATAGACATTAGAATGTTATTCCTTATCTCTTTATATATTCTTGGTCCAAAAACAAAGGAAATGCAAATCGGTGAGTATGACACATCAGCTTCTGGATGGCAAGAACCATTTCCTTTATCGTCTTGGTATTTTTAGTGTCTATTATATAACAGAGGCCCAGTAAATGATTATTACTTTTGGCCCAACTCTAGCTATTATTTCACTTTGTCAGACTCATATTTTTTTTTCACTTGGATTTATGTCTTCTTGAGGGCCAGTTACCAGTTTACAAATATTATTTGCTTCTTCAAATAATATAGTTCAATATGCAATGTATGTTTTTAAAGAAAAAAAAGTCAAACACATAGGCTTAGAAAAATTTAGACAAATTCATGAAGATTCTCTAATTTGCTTGTTTGGTAATATGTAAAATTAGCTTATTTCCAAGGCATTGAAGGTACATGTTCAGTTCATGTAAACACCTTCTGAATGTTTCAATGCCAGCTGTTAAAGCAGAGAAACACGGAGCTGGGAAGGAGTAAGGCAGGTAGGATTACATTTATAAATGTGACAACTTCTCCCCTCAAGAAACTTACAGAATAATATATTTGGAATTTTACAAAATTATTTACTGATAGACTTATTTGTAGGTATAGTACACTTCCCTTCATTGACAATGATTGAGGATAATTGGCAATTTGGTTGCCTGAATGTTGTAGCTAATTGGGAGCTGTCAAATACATCATGTCTAATTTTTGAAGAATTGTAGTAAAATAGAGGTCAGAAACACAGAAACACAGAATTGGCCATATTAGCTCAGCTTTATAATTCTTGAAAGTTTGGTTGACTATTTTATTAATTAATTCATTTTAATAAATAAATATAATACATTTTATTAATCAAATATTTGCTAAATATTAGTTATTATTAAATCTTCGCTAAATATTAAATATTTATTACTAAATAAATATTTGCTATATATTTTACTTGCAAGCCACTGTAAATATATAAGAATACAAAGATAATTGTTCACTTATTCATTCACTCACTCATTAATTTATTTATTTAGGAAATATTTACTGAGCACCTATAATGTTCTTGATATTGAATGATCAATCCTTAAATATAGTAAAAGGTAGTAAGGGAGATTAGTCCTAATTACAGATACCAGAATATAGGACATTACATTGGAAACCCAGGAAAAGATCAAAAGTGCCTAGGTATTCAACATATAGATTAGCAATACTTATTTTCTTACCTGGCCATTTGTTATTTCATCAGCCTGATGGTTTTACCTTTTAATATCCCTGTATGGCTGTGCCATGCATAACGTTGGGTAGTCCCTTCAAAATTGTATTTCTCGGGTAAAATTATTTCTATAAATGTATCACTTGCTTTTTGAAATACTACTACTCTGGTTTACTTATTCTAAACTCACCTAACTCAAGCTTAACAATGTGCTTCCTTATTCTAATATTTCAAAATTTGGTAAAAAAAATCATCATATCTATGACTTTCATCAGTTTATAAAATTTGTTCACATAAAAAGAACCCAATTTAGTACTTTCTCATATAGAAATCCTTTTTCTTAGGTCATTTGATGAAAGGTGCTCACTTTCAAAATTCTATTGAACATAATTTAATCTTTTTTGGATGATTTACGATGTCACTTTGGAATATTAACAATGGCTCAGTCATTTTTGTCAATAGCTGTGGGTACAGGATGCAGAATGCATTAAAATTGGATTGGATTAAATTGATGGCAGAACTGGGTCATTCCCCAAATGTTACTTTCTTAAATATAGCAGTCTTTTATCTGTCATTTTTTCTTTCACTCTAAATTAAATAAAAAAAATGTACAAATCATGCTCTGGTTAATTTAGATTTATAATAAATTAGAATTCACCATGCACACATGAATGAAAAGCATATAGTTATATTTTTATATTTCATACATTTTTAAACTAATTCTGTAACAAGTATAAAGCTAAGTAAAGTACTTACATTAGCTGCACCAAGAAGTATCAAGGTAGGCCCAAGACCTATTGTGTATATTGATCTGAGCATTATTGATACAAGAAACGGCCGAATACCCACAGGCTTGGAGAAGAAAAACAGCATAGATGTGCAGATTGCAACTGCTATCCAAAGAAGAACCGAGAACAATGGAGAAAGTGTACCTGTAAAATGTGGAAAAAATGTATTGTTATTAAGAATAAAACTAAAAAATGCTAAAATATTTGCTGCTCTACTTTATATGTTATCATTAAGTCAAAGCCATAATCCACTAAATTTCAAAATGACCCCATCTACATTCTTCATATTTCAAGGAAATGTCTTTGAACACGTTACTCATTATTACATTTCCAGAAAACCTGTGATTACTTTCAAGCTACTTAAACACTCACTAATGTTCCTTTTATTAAGTCAGACAATTGTTCATCTTTCTCTCATATGAGGATGATTCTCTAAATACTTTTGATAGACATCTCTCTCAGGAACCTTAATTCAAAGTTTATGATTAATGACCATTAGTTATATAGCTAAATCATTAAAAAATTGAATTCAAACCTTGTCTTGTCCTATTAGTATCAAGTTTCCATATTCTAGATTCCTCTGAAGAATCTAGTAGAATAACCTTTATAAAATAGACACACGCTTTAACTGCTAAACACACATGCATAGATATGTGTATGAATACGCGCAAGAGTGTGTGTATTTGAAGGCCAGCTCAACTTCTAAATAAAATGGTTAGCTATTTAATCATCAGAAAATTCACATTCCAAATGTCTTAAAAAACAAACTCCGTTACACATAAGATTTCTTAGAAACTCCCCAAAAGAGAGGCTCAAAAATATTCTTTCTTTAATAAGTAGTACAATTCATTGACATTTGCACACATGTGCATTCAAGGAATCCTTTCCTGAAGGTCACGTGGTGCTGCATTTGCAGAAGTAAATTAAGAGGCAACATTCTTGGGCTGGTTGGATCTGCTCTGGGGCCTCAAATGCATGTCTATAGGCTGACATAGAAAGGAAACAACAAAATGGAGATTTTCCACTACGTCCTCTGGTAAATATTCAATAACAGTCTTATTCTTTTGGCCACACCTCTTATCTTTATTTATAAAATTTGCTGCTGCATGCAAAACACCTCAAGGACTTGGTGTGCATAGCTTTTGTACTGTCATCAAAACTCTGGGATTATTTGACTCCTTTAATGAATTCTGTATAAAACTCTTAGTTCACAGTGTGTGCTAACATCTCAGAAATAGGCAGGAAGATCCTGCTAGTTGTTAAAAGACAAACAAAAAATCAGATAATGAACAGCATTCATTTAGACATGTTTACTTTTGCAAGGTTTGTTCTTATGCTGTCTCTGAAAGCACATAATGATGAAAGGAGGTTGGGAAAAGAGATGTGATATCCCCCCCCCACCAAATTTATAATCTCATAAGATTAATTTGGAGATGGGGAAAGAAAAAGGGTAAACTGCTCTGAAAGTTACCTTCAATTCCTGTCCTCTGGCAATGCTAACATACAGGTACCCTACTCGTGTTTACGATGATGTTGGCTTGTAAGCACTCTACATCTACCAAAATACAGACTGACCACCAACTGCCTTGACCTCACAGATCTCAAACAGCCATAGAGTAAATAATGCCTTCAACTTTCTCTCTTGCTTACTGGGACTTGAGACTCCATCAGAATGTAAACTCTAAAAGGATGAGGGCCATCCCTAGGCCTATCGCCATGCCTGTTACAGAACAACAAATAAAAATTTGTTGATTGAGTAAATAAACAAAAATATATTCTGTGAGTTTGTTTTGAATAAATAACTAAGTCTCCAGTTATCAACTCCCCAAGTCACACAGCTTAGGTTTTAAGTTCACTAGAACTGACAACATATTCAAGGCACATTTACATCTGACTTTTCAGCATAATTCATAAGCAATGTCTTGGTGACATTCTTATTCTAGAATAATTTGGCATAGATGGTCACATTGTGCATTGTCACTAATTCCTGATAAACTATCTACCTCTTTCCTATTCTTTTCAAGACAATATCTGGTTTGCTGAGATTTTCCCTTGATCAAACAGAAATTATAGTCATACAATTAAAATTGGGTGTTTGATACCTTTGTGAAAAGGACTCAATTGTCTAGTATAGTAGCTAGCACATAGGTTCACACTAAATACGTATTTGAATGAATAAACTCAAAAGTTATTTAAAACAGCTATTGACGGGCCAGGCGCGGTGGCTCAAGCCTGTAATCCCAGCACTTTGGGAGGCCAAGACGGGTGGATCACGAGGTCAGGAGATGGAGACCATCCTGGCTAACACGGTGAAATCCCGTCTCTACTAAAAAATACAAAAAACTAGCCAGGCGAGGTGGCGGGCGCCTGTAGTCCCAGCTACTCGGGAGGCTGAGGCAGGAGAATGGCGTAAACCCGGGAGGCGGAGCTTGCAGTGAGCTGAGATCGCCCACTGCACTCCAGCCTGGGCGACAGAGCGAGACTCCGTCTCAAAAAAAAAAAAAAACAAAAAACAAACAAACAAACAAAAAAACAAAAAACAAAAAAAAACCAACAGCTATGTTTATAATTCTCTTCTCTAAGAATGATCATATTGGTTTCTATCTGAAGATTCAATGCTAAAAAGAGAACTGAAGTCTCTCTGACAAACTCTAGAGTAAAGACAGTGCAGATTTTCTTTGAGTCTTGCACAAAGTCTTGCTCGCCTGGCTAAATTTTGTATTTTCAGTAGAGTTGGGGTTTCACCCTGTTGGCCAGGCTGGTCTCAAACTCCTGACCTCGGGTGATCTGCCTGCCTTGGCCTCCCAAAGTGCTGGGATTACAAGCATGAGCCACCTAGTCCAGCCGACAGTACAGATTTTCAAAGCCATTCTTTTCCCATTTCTCTCCTTAATACTCTATATATGTATCCATTTTCTATAATAAGCATGATGTTATTTTAATAATACAAAAAGTTTTATAATTTACCCTATACATTTATAAATCTTAGAAAGTATGAAGTTTATCCTTTATGAAAGAAAATCCAGAAAGCAAAATTGCAAGCTTCAATCCAGTTCACATCATGGAGCTCTGCTATCTACCTCATGCAGACTCTATAATTTCCTGTACAGAACATGCTGCTTCTTAATTCCCTGTTTCTCTCCATCCCTCTGTCTCCCAAGTAGCCTTATAAGATCTTTCTGTTTCCTCTACCTCAGTCCAGCTAAAGTAGATATCCACTCAGAAATCCCTGGGTGGCCTTTACTATTGTGCCTTATTCATTTATTGGTCCCTTAACTAGACTGTGAACTCTTTGAGGACAAGGACAAGTTTACTAATCTTTGTATTTTACAATCTTTGTATTTAACAGTACCTGGCACATAGTGGCACTCCATCAACAGTTAAGTTGAAGGAATTGAAATCACCATGAAGAACTCATTTTCTTTAACACAAAGCACTTGGCAGAAAGAAAGAATTACACTACAAATTTTAATATAATTTTAAAAAATCACATGCTATCTTGGTATAAGGAATTCCCATGGCATCAATTTTCTCCACTAACTAGTCTGCCTTTGCCAAATGAAATCCAGGATAGGGGTATCTGGCGTGGCAGCCATCAGCTTCTGAGTGGACTCCCAGGACATTCCCAGCACCAGAAGCTGCTGCTTCAGCCACAACCAGTGTAGCCTCATTCCTCAACATTGGCACTTTTCCTTTTTAGAGAAGCATATGATAAACAAACGCCACAAAAATCAATCAGCCAAAGAAACCCAACCCAAAACCTTTAGCCATAAAAAATAGGCCCTGTACTCCTGAACAAATTGAAACCAAACTCTTCAAAGCCTGGCAATTAAAGGAGATTCTCTATCTGCAGTAGAGGGTGAAGAGTGTCCAACAGGCTGGTCCTCTGAGAATTATCTCTGCCTTAAATGTCTCCTTTTGGTTACTGTACCCCACTACCTGGTTGAGGAGGGAAACTACTCTCTCAGTTAATATCATAACCCAAGTGTGAATCAATTATTTGAGCACAAGAAACTCCTAGCAGTTCAGGTGTTCAGACCGGAAAATATACTTGGAGGAAGCATACATGGCTCCTTCCCTCTGCCAATCCCTCTGTTCTCACCACCACATTGGTACCAGCATGTATTAGGATCTGGGGTTAGAAGGGTGGCATATTTTAAGCAGAGCTCTTTTTTTGTAGTGCAAGACTTATCAGCTGATTTCATAATCAGCTTCTACACCGAGTCAAGGAACTTCAGGGTTGGACAGAATCCTTACATTTATTATTATTTTTTCTTTTTTAACTTTATCCTTTACCTAGATTCCCCAAATGTCAACACCTCATATAACCACATTACAATGATCAGTATCAGGAAATTAACATTGATAGACCACTTTTACCATCTATCTAGTCAAAGTTGGTCATTTGCCCAATTTATGTCCTTCTTCTGAACCAGGGTCACACACGGGATTCAGTTGTCATGTCTCTTTAATATCTTTTAATTTGGATAGTTCCTCAATCTTTCTTTGTCTTTCATAAGCTTGACACCTTGAAGAGTACTGGCCAATTATGTCGTAGCATAGCCCTCATTTGGGGTTTGTCTGAAATTTTCTCAGTTAATTCATTTTTGGAAGATGATGTTACATCCTTGTCAGTGATTGTATCAGGAGGCACGTGATGTTGCTGGGTTTCATTACTGGTGCCATTAATGCTGATCACTTAGTTAAAGCGATTTCCCCCACTTTTAAGTTATTATTTTTCCTTTCATAATTAAGTATATTGTGGGGAGAGACTTGTACATTATACACAGGTTATATACTTTTCATCATATGGTCACCCATTAATTTTAGCATCCATGGATAATTTTTACTACTGTGATGTTTGCCAAATGGTGACATTCTATTTCCATCATTCTGTCTGTATTTTATTAATTGGAATACAATTATTAAAAAAGAGTTTTCTCTTTCTACTATCAACAGGAACTCCTGGATTCTTATTTTATGCTATGGGAGATAATGTGTCACTGTCAATAATCTTTTTCTCTAAATTTTCTCATATTTGACCACCTGGAGACCTTTCAAGTTGGATCCTGGGTTCTCTGACATGTCTCCATCATTTTTAAGCACTTCTTGAAGGAATTTTCATCCATCTTTAATCTCACCCATCTCTAAATCACTTCATAGTGGCCCTGGCAAACAGTTGTTCAGCCTGTTAGACCAAATCCAGCATCAGAGAACCTTCACCACCAGCACAGAGCTTTCTTCCTCCAGACAATTCTGATGGCCAAGTGTGTGTAACAGTCTTAGCTCTGTTTCCTCAGAATTCATAGCTATGCAGTGTGCAACAGATTAAGACTAAGCTAATCCTGACCAAAATGTTAACCTTATTCGTGGAGCTCATTAAATTAAATAACTCATCCAGAACTATAACCAGATGACCCAGACATAACCTTGGGGTTTGACATTGCCAAAATGGCAGCTCATGCCTTCCCTTCCCTCAAAGCACCACATCCACTTAAATATCCTAAGCTGAGGCTCTACCTTGGTTACTGCTGTTAACTGCTGTCTAGTCCTTTTCCAGAAGTAAAGTCTGCATCTGCACCTGATGATAGCGCACAATGTCTTCCAGCGTTGCGTTTGTTAGTCCTATTTCCGGGACTAACAAACTTATACCTCCCATAACTAGGAGAAAATTGATGCCATGGGAATGTCTTATACCAAGATAGCATGTGATTTTTTAAAATTATATTAAAATTTGTAGTGTAATTCTTTCTTTCTGCCAAGTGCTTTGTGTTAAAGAAAATGAGTTCTTCATTTTCAATTTCAATTCCTTCAAATTGAAATTTGGTGATTTCAATTCCTTCAACAACTGTTGATGGAGTGCCACTATGCGCCAGGCACTGTTAAATACAAAGATTTTACCATCTTTGTATTTTAAAAATTACAAAGATTAGTAAACTTGTCCTTGTCCTCAAAGAGTTCACAGTCTAGTTAAGGGACCAATAAATGAATAAGGCACAATAGTAAAGGCCACCCAGGGATTTCTGAGTGGATATCTACTTTAGCTGGACTGAGGTAGAGGAAACAGAAAGATCTCATAAGGCTACTTGGGAGGCAGAGGGATGGAGAGAAAGAGGGAAGTAAGCAGCAGCATGTTCTGTGCAGGAAACTATAGAGTCTGCATGAGGTAGATAGCAGAGCTCCATGATGTGAACTGGATTGAAGTTTGCAATTTTGCTTTCTGGATTTTATTTTTAAAAAGATAAACTTCATACTTTTTGAGCTTTAAAAATATATAGGGTAAATTAAAAAACATTTGTATTATTAAAATAATACGTTTATTATAGAAAATGGATACATATATAAAGTATTAAGGAGAGAAAATGCTCCTCCCGTCCCACCATTGATGGGTAAAGAATGTCTTTGAAAATCTGTTATTTCAAGTCCTTTTTCAAGGACCAGTTGCACCAGCAATACCTGGTGAGCTTATTTAAAAATACATATTTTTGAACTCTAATTACAAGGCAAATCTTCAGCCTCAGTTTCTTCATCCATAAAAATATTCTTCATCCATAAGGATATTCTTCCTTCATAAGAATACAGATTTGTCAGGAAGATTAAGTGAAATGTATGCGAAGTGCTTAGCATTTTCCCTGACCCAGTCTAAGTGGTGAACAACCTCCGCTGCTGTTATTATTAGTAGTATTACTTTTATAACTATTATTGGCCAGGCAAGTGTTACAAATACCATGTGTTCTGCTTCTCCTGAATGAGTAAAGAGCAACTGCCCAGAGGGGTGGCATTTCCCATCACTCTTATATTTCATGTACAATAGGTGGCAGCAGAGCCTACATACATTGGCTCCGGTGGTCAAGAAAGGGAGATCATGGAATGGAACTCAAGGGAAATTAGGTCCTGTATGAAGAAGGGGCGCCTGTTAATGACATGCTTCCAATCCATGGAGAAAGATCCTAGATTGGACACAAAAGGGTTAGTCTTCTACTCTAAGATCTGCCATTTTTTAGGCTTTCTGGACTTCCATCTGTTCATCTGTCAAATGAGTGCTTGATATTAGATGATTTCCAGAATTGCTTCCTTTTTTAAGACTTTATGCTTCTACTAACTGGGACTCTATAATCTTGCCCGCATTCTGTGTGCAGATGATATTGATTTATCATTTCATGCTGGACTTCTTTCCTCCCAAGAGTTATATTCCTCTATGCTAAGAGTTTATCACTAAAGGAAACTAAACATAGTGAAGAGAAAGCCATTTTTACTTCCTGGTGAATGTGCAGTTGCTCTATAATGGATGGCCAAATTTAACTCACACATCCACTCCATTGCTTAATATTCTTCTTTTATTCTGGGTATGCCTTCCAAAAACAGTGGTTATTCATGACTACTCAGATTACAGCTAAAGTTTAGAACTTTGATATCTATGTTACCTGTAATGAATCTGTAAAAGAGCAAATGACTTTCGGACTCCCATTTCCTTTCCTGCCCACCCCCAGTTCTTCTGAAATAGGCTGAAATACCTGTTGCTCTTATCATACTCTCTTTCCTCGAGGCTTCTTTCTGTAGTACAAATATGTACCTTTTAAACAGCAACCACCACCATTGAACTTTACTGAAGGTTTATCAGGTACTATTCTAAATGCTTTACCTACATCATCTCATTAAATTCTCACAGTAATCCCATGAAATGATGAGAGGCAAAAGCACTGCATGGTTATTATTAGCTTATTTCTCTATCTTTTCTTCCAAGCCATTCTTTCCATGCCCATTCCAAAGTAATTTACCAGATTGTAGCCCAAACCTGTAACATACTTCCCATGCTCTCCACCAAACTTACACAAAACTTACTTCCCAAAGTCTCACGATTCAGTATATTTCTCCTATATTTCTAATTTCACCTAAAATGGTATACTTTCTCATTTTTGCTTCTGTATTATTAGTTTAATAATATTAGTTTCATATTCAGTATCCTTTATTTCCTATTATTGTCTTGTCATATGCTGTTCACTTTTGAAATCTCAGATGACACACATTTAATTATCTTAAGAATCCCTGACTTTAGTATAGAATTAAAAATTATTTCTAGATTACATGTACGCTCACTATAGAAACCTTAGACAAGACAGAAAACAAAGAGAGTAAAATATAAATGCCAGTATTTAGGTAACAACAATTAATATTTGGGCACAGAGCTGTCATTTGCATAATTGAGATGATACAGTATAAAAATGTTTGGAGTCGTAACAATTAGGTAGAAATGACAAATCTTTTCATTGCTTTATTTGCCAAGATATAATATAGCTCTAATAACAATTGTGTATACGAGCTTTTTAAAAAATAACAATTCTATTGACCACACTTTTCTGCCTATTCTATTTACTATCATAATCTACTTCCAACAAGTATAGAAAAATCCATTTAACAGGAATGAAACTATTCTTATTTTGAAGATCTAAATAGTTAAGTGGAAACTTTAAAATATTTATCTTTTAAGGAAAAACGAGCACTTGCCTTCATCTCCATCATCCCCGAATGGGTAGAAGAGAGCAACAGCTAAATTGATGAACACAGCCAGGTTGAAGGAAATGCTCCCCCAGAGAGAGATGTGCCTCGAGAACCAGAACAGTGCAGGGTTATCTAGGAAATGAGAGGCGTAAAGGAGCAGAACAGAAAAATAAATTTTGGTTTCAACACATGAGGCTTACCAAAACAATATTTTACTAAATGCATCATTTTTGTAAACTATTATAAAAACCTATTTAAATAAATATTTGACTTGAGTAAGTTTATTAAAAACAATCAGAACCATAAAGGAGTGAAATTTGATTCCTTTTTTCATCCTTCAGCCAGTTTAGGCCTAAACTACTGCAGAAGGGCGAGGAATTTTGCAATCGCTAAAGGTGGTCAGAAAAGGTGATTCTGTAATAATTCTCTGTAATCTATCTGCAGAGCAGTTTAGCAGTTGCCTGGGGTCCCTTTTAATGAAATGATATACTTCATTGTATAATTTGGTAGTATTGATAAATTGGTCCCACTCCCATGCCTTAAAGTCAAATAAAAAAACTCCAAACCCATAGCACAGATATATTTCTAATGAAAATTCCTATGACACAGTCACAGTTAGCTGAAACTATGAAACCTAATCATGAGACATAGTACTCCTGACAGGGAACTAGTGATTTACAGTATTATCTACATTTTAAACCTTAAATCTTCCTAAGAACTTGTTGGGTTTGAAACAGCAGAAGAAAATGAGCACTACAATAAAAACTGCTAATAAGTGGAACAGGCTTTGCTGAATATATTCAACAAAGGACTCTGTGTCTGTCATCAGAAATGAATTACTAAATGCATCAATCGAATACAGTTTACATTAACCAAAAATTAGTTCTTTCCACCTCTGTTAAATAACTGAACAGATTTGTAATGCATGTAAGTTTGAATGAGAGCCAAACTTACTAGCCTGCCCTGGGCACTCACATGGCTCCTATAGGTCTTGTTCACGCTCTAACTTTTAAAAACTTAACACCAGAATTAAAAAATTTAAGTTAATCAAGGGGGAAAGGCACATTGATTTTCAAATGGAAATGATAAACTTCGTAGATAAATCCTGTGAATTTCAACCTAGTGCCTATTGCCTACTTACAAACTGTACTTCTCTTCAGTACATCTTGTTTTCCTTCTCTTGGAAGGGAACATTCCAATGCTGAAATATGCTATGATTAGCTATGCCATTTAATTGACTAATGTACCATAAACTGTAAACATCTGCATCTCCATCATTCCTCAATTAGGAGTCCTCGTTTTTAAAGGTAGACTATTAAGACAAAATTAGAAGATGTTGATGCATGCATTTGTAATAACAAATCCTCACTATTGAATCCACCAAATGAATTAGATTCTGCCTATGGCCTCATAATAAGCTGCTTCCAAATTTTAAAGTAAAATGTACACTGAAAATTATTTTAAGAATTAATTTTTGGTAAATGACAAAATACTTATTTTTTTTAAAAGCACAGACCCCCCCAAAGCACTAGTCCAGTATTCACTTTGTTGTCAAGGAGAAAATATATGTGTTTTTTGTTTTGTTTTGTTTTTTGTTTGTTTGTTTGTTTTACTGAGGCAGAGTCTCGCTCTGTTGCCCAGGCTGGAGTGCAGTGGTGCAATCTTGGCTCACTGCAACCTCTGCCTCCTGATTTCAAGTGATTCTTCTGCCTCAGCCCCCCAAGTAGCTGGGACTACAGGCGCCCGCCACCACGTCTGGTTAATATTTTATATTTTTAGTAGAGACAGGGTTTCACTGTGTTAGCCAGGATGGTCTCAATCTCCTGACCTCATGATCTGCCTGCCTCAGCCTCCCAAAGTGTTGGGATTTACAGGCATGAGCCACCATGCCTGGCCAGAAAATGTATGTTTTTAAAATGCTCCAAATGAAATTGTGTCTTCATATGTATTTTAGACACCCAAAATTTTCACTGAATTCCACAAGGCTCTACATGGTAAATTGCTAAGGGAGAATAATTTTGATTTTTAAAAAAACATTCTGTTTTAAAAGCCTGAAAATGCATACCACACCCCTATACCTAAAGATGATATTTCTCAAGTACCACTCGAATTCATAAATCATACCTACTAAAGTTCCTGAAAACTAGCATAATGAAATACTGTTGAATAGAAGTATTGAGAACATATCCTGTTTGTCTAGAAAACTCCAAGGGACTGAAAAAGACCTACTCAAGAGTTTCCCCCATTGACTTTTGTGAAAAACTCATGAGATCCCTTATCTTGGAAAATAAACTAAAGTTTATTTAAAAATTCTAAAATTTTAAATTTTAAAAGTCAGTGTTTCCTAATAGACTTGGGACCTAAGAGATAAGTCATGGGAACTGTACTAAACTGATTTTTTAACTGGAATATTATAACATTGCTCTATTTAAATACAAGTGTCATGACATGTACAGCTTGTTTGGTGAGGGGAGGTAAAGATATGTTCAAAGAAAGACTTACTCTCAGCAAAACATGAAACAATCCCCTCAATCTCAGGACAATAGAGGAAGAGTGTGCAGGAGCTGATGTCTCTCAATCCTATTCACTGATAGGCCAGTCAGGGCCCACTCACGGGCTTCAAACCTGCAGCTGTTCAACATTTGAAAACGTACAGCTGCAACCCTGCATTTCATAATATTTATTTAAAAAATGGGATCATCATGAAGAGTTGATGTAATTAGTTAGGGCTTTCTGTTTTCCTTAAGCTGCAGGTGTCTTGGCTCCAGTGGTAGACTAAGCGGACACCCTTAAGCCTGAAAGTGATTTCAGTGTGTCAGACTGGCAAGAAATTAAAAAACAATTTAAATGAGCTGCATCATGTGTCCCAAAGTACCAAATTATCTACCACTACGCACAAAACTAACCATTTCAGTTTACTGTACTTACTTCTGATTTTCTTTTGCCACTTCATTTCATTGTAGAGATCTTCTGTTTGCTGGAAAAAGTCATTCACTTTACTTCCTTGTTCATCCCTTTCAGTTGTATTGAACACACGGCACTTGGATTCTCGAGTGAGGTATTCACATATATTGGGGACAGGAAAAACTATTTGTTCCATGGTCCTATCATGCCGGACAATCTGAAAACATTAATTTGCATTGTTTTTAGCCTTTTGGACACCTCAGCCTTAGACTTGCTTTTGTTTTTAAAATGAGTTTGAAGATGATGTTTTATGAACTCAGTTGTGAAAAAATATGCCAACTTGAAATATCTGAAAGAACCCTTTTTACTATACTACTTTGCATTTTTCTCTTAAAAAAGAGAAATTAATTGACTAATATATGAAAAACACTATACTTTGTTTAAAATAACAAAAAATAAAAACCTTTTATTCTTTCTGGGTTAGCATTATACTTCTGCCACCCATTTTTATTTTTGTGAAGTACATCCTAAAACGAAGACAGTCTTAATTAGAAAGTGACTGGCTGGGTAGGCTTAAATATAGCATTTATACTATTTGTATCTTGTTCTTAGCCTCTTTGTCCTAAAAGGGGCTTTCGGGTAACAAATGACATATTCAACATTATGTGTCTGAACTCTACAGAGAAAAGTGCTTTATATCATTAAAATGTTCTCTTACTCATGGCAAAACATATTTTTGTAGGTACAACATCCATGTAAACATATACCCATATTTAAATACTCATAATTTTGAGCCTCCCTTATTTGTTATTTGTGACTGTTTAACTTTAGATTTAAAAAAAAAAGGCTGATTATTTTCATATAGCTTTACTATGTAACAAGGGTTCATGAAGCCTAAATTTCAAGGTTCACATTTACGTACAGTGCCCAGTTCTCAGGAATGAATAAGGATTGGCTTAACCCAAAAGAGTAATTCTGTTCCCTTTGCTACTGACTGGTGTGGTGGTGGTCATGGGCTGTACCTCTAGAAAGTGAGGCATAAAGAGAAATCTCCCGAAAGGGCTTCCAGGAGAGATTTTGCTTGTTGGTAAAGGCAGAGAGCCATAAGAGACACACAAAACAACAACAGCAACAACAACAACAAAAACAAAAATGAAAACCAAATACACAAAAACAAAAGTTTTTTGTTTGTTTGTTTTTGTTTCTTTGGTTTGCCTGTATCATCTTTCTTCTTGCTTAGAACAAAAGGGTCTAAGGGCATGATGCTTGGAACTCTAGCAGCCATTTTGCAACCATGAGGTGAGATAGTGTCAGCATGATAAGGAACCTAGTATAAACATGTGAAGAGTTTGCATATTTTAAGACATCACTGAGTCACTGAATCAATTATAGAACTGCTGGTACTCCAGACTTCCCATCAGATAAAATTTTACTGTCTAAACAATTGTCAGTGTGGTATTCTATTAAACTTGTAACTGAAGGTATCCTAAATGATATGTGATATATTCAATTACATACTAGAATACTGTCATAAAGCAAACTACATGAAATTTAGTAAGGTAAATGAAAATTCCTGGATATAGGTTACTAAAATCAATTGTACAAAATAATTGGACACATTTGGTATGACAGGCAACCATATGGGGAAAAAAAGCTTTACTTGATCCAATAGTGTCAAATATTATTTTAAAAATCTCAGGGTGCATCAAAGAAATCATGTCTAGATTATTATAAGCCAAGTTCTTCAGTCCTTTTATGAAATGTTACGTTTGATTACAGTTGCCACATTTTGCAAACAGCATGGACAAACTGGAGGGATTACTGAAGGAAATGGAGGTGTGTTAACTGCAAAAAACCAGAGATGGATAATTTTTCAATACATTTATTCAACAAATGCTTATTCAGTCTTTAGGTGAGGCATGTTGGAGAAAAAACAACACGAACCCCAATGGGTAAGAGCTTGTAGTTTAGTAATCATGATGGCTCTTCAGATGTTAGAATCAAGCTATCATGTTGAGGGGGAAAAATGTTCTGAAAGTAAATATTAAAATGGGCTAATGTTAATTCTTTATTTAAAAAAAAAGTTTCTAATTATTAGAGTCATTCAAAATCAGATCAGTTTCCTTGTGATGTAGTGAGAACTCTATGGCAGGAAGAATTTAAAGCAGAAGCAGATTATTACAGGGCAATATCTTCTTAGATGGGTGATTAGACACGAGGCTCTTCCTATTCCCAGGGTCTTTAAGTCTATAACTTGCAGACAAACTATTATTCTCAATAACATGAATTGTTGTGGTTACGTTCAAGGCACAGGGTTCAGTTTTGGAAATACAAAGATGACCAAGACCAGTCCCTGCCTCAAGTAAAGGAGAAGTTACATATATGAAGCTAGTAATATTCCAATGTGATAAATATTAAACTAACAGAATAACCAAACTGCTGTGGAAGCATACACAGTGAGATGAAATTAATGAATGCCTGGAGAAGGGAAGAAGGCCTCTCTGAGTAGGTCATGTGAGCTGGCTTTGGGTGAACATGAGAACTGATCAATGAGTTCATCAGCCTGGACCACTCCTTTGAAACCTGGACTTGTATATCGAACTCCATGGATGACTGAAAGTCACCTCGAATTCAATCTATCCAATAATGAACAAATAATCTTCTTCTACCTTTTAGCTACCAAACTTCACTCTCTCCTAGCATTCTCATACATGGCACCAACTTTTGCTCATTTATTCAAATGAGTAGCCCGAGGACATCCTTTTGCACACCATTCTCCTAACATGTGCAATTCAACTTCAAGCCCTGTCAATATGTATATGTATATGTGTGTATTTACTCTCTCTATATATATCACTATATAGATATGTACATGCATGTATCTATATATATGTATTTTCCAGTCCAGCCATCTTCGATATCATCATCTCTCACATTTACCATTATAATATCTTTCTATCTGATCTATGTGTGTTTTCGATCCCACTCTCTTTTCCAGTCTTGTCTCCAAACAGCAACCAGATTGATCTTTTGAAAATAGTCATCTCCTTCCTGTGTTTTTTACCTTCCCTTCACTTACTTTCTTCCTTCTGAAATCCCCTTTCTGAAGGAGAAACTCATACTCAATCTTTAATACATTCTTAAAGGTAACTTCTCAGTGAAATCTATCCTGAAATTGCTCAGGCACCACTAATTATTATTTTCTCTACATTTCCTTGGCCCTTTGTTTATATACTTATGACACAGAATGATCTTCTATATGTGTGAACTGGTAGAGAGTAAGTGCTCAGTAAATATTTGCTGAATGTGTGTATTTATAGCTAAATCTCTCCTCACTGCTGGAATCAATAAAACAACATCAAACAACAGCTCCCATCTCTCACAGACATTAACCAAACTTCTCTCCAGGGCCTGCTCACTCTATTTCCTATTCCCTGGTCTCTTCTGATCTCCTAGCTTGGTACTTTGACTTCTGGGATCTTCTTTAAGAATTTCATGGTTTGATGACCTATTTCTACTTGTACAGAAATTTTTTTCCTGCTAGTCCAGCTCATGGGTTCCACTAAGTCAAGTCCAACACCAAAGTTGTGGTACTATTAATGTTTACAAATGTGAGCAAGGTATCCATTTCTGTGACACAAAGGTTTGGCAACAGTAAACAATACAGTGTAGGGGTTATATATCCCGAGAGTGAACACAGTGATGCCCATTATGCACTCTGCTGAAAAGTAAAAAATATCTGCCAAAATGAATGAATGTATAAACGTAAATTATAGGAGTGACAAGTGTCAACTACTCTGCTCACTTCTGCCTGATTAGCTCTGCCAGCCAGTGTCAAAATGATACCATAGCTAGTAAATGTCAGCCAGATGGGTCTCAGAACACATAATGACAAGTCCATTTTGACCCACACCTCCTGAACTGCCACCAACCATTAAATAATGTCTCATTTATGAGGGTCGGGGGAGGTCAATTGCTGCATACTGAAAATGGAAACTGTTAAACCTTTCCAAGGCTATGGTATCAATATGAAAATTGTATTAGTTTCTTTCATGTTTACTCCACTTGTGAATTGTTGGAGATCTCTATTTTAATAAGCCTTCCACAATTTTTAAAAAGAAACCTTTTCCTGAATGAAGGCTTCTATTATAATAATACCATCTCTCAAACACTATTGCTCTGCAATGATTAATTGCTTCTATGGTTAAAAAAATCTATTAATTACAAAAGAAATTTTACATATAGTCTTAGTAAAAAGACAACTTCGAAAGATGTACACCTCATTTTCCTATACATCACTCCTCACTCATCCTTTTACTATACATTTTTCAGTTTAAACCACTCAATTCTGCATCATTGCTCTAGAAAAAAATATGAAAATGGTCTAAAATAGAAAGTAAGCATAACTTTTCACAGTTGGTCCCTTTCAATAAATAATAGATGGTTACCTCAATCTGTGCAGTGTGGTTGGCATAATACTTTAAGGCTTCATCTCCTTCATCTGGATCCGATCCTGGTTTGAGCATCTGCTGCAACAGTTTATTGTGGCGGGCCAACTAGAGCGGGGAAAAGATAAAGGTTTTAGGTCCTTTTTTACCCTTTCCTGGGGTCGAACTTTGAAATAACTTTGTCTACTTGTACACATAGCTTCACAGTCCTAGGGTTAAGGACAATTAGTTACACTTCAGGAAAGCATGTCTGTATTTGAAAGGCAGAGATAATGAAATCACAATGATCAGCCATTAATATTTGTTGATTAACTTTATGTCTTCAGTAAATATATGACTGTAGGAAGAAGAAATGTTCCCAGTGATACGTAATTGATACTGTCTATAGTAAATTTAAACTACATACACACAAAAACAAAGTGATCAACAGTGCAATAAATCAGTGAGTAGTGGGGACAATATAAATGTGTGTTTTTCCTACACACACATAAATAGGTATCTGTATTTCAGAAGAGTTTCTCTTATAGCATGTAATCTAAGCTCTACATTAGTAGTTGGTATAAAGTCCTATGTTTCTGCACGTTTGTAAGCCAAAATTAGTGTTTTCTGGGTATAGATCTTGATTTTATTGTCATTGAAATTGGGCATTTAAAAAAGCAAAAATTTCACCATAAATTATTTTAAACTGCTGGTGGTGGAAGTCATCTTTCTCTCTCATTTGAATGTCTACAGCATTTGCTGGCTAGTTCTCTCACTGTGTACATTAGTAATACATGTTGCCTTCAGATGTCTCTTTTATGGTTGTCTCGAGCAATTCCTGAAATCTTGCAATGTCTTTCACTTATCAAATATCCTATTAATGCTTGAATTTCCTGAGGGCTTCTACTAACAAAGACTGTACCACAGAACTCTCTCATTCCTAGCACAGTGCCTGCCTCCAACTCCATGCCAGGTACTAATTCTAAGTACTTCAAGTACATGATCTTACTTGAACCTACTAAGAAATTCAGTGGTAGGCACTCTTTATTATTGCCATTGACAGATGAGGAAACTGAAGCACGGAGAGTGTGAGGAACTTGTTTGTGATAACATAGCTAGAAAATGGTAGAGCCAGTATTTTATCAACATTATAGAGCGATAAGTTTTCCTATGATTCATGAGATCTTAATACAAACTGTGATTATAATCATGGAGATGAATTTTAAATAATAATTCAGAACCTAGAAAACCAAATGAACATTATCCTTATAAGTGATAATTTGGTAAGCTAAATATTCATTACACTGATGTTGCTCTAGAGCAAATCATTTTGAAAATTGTTATTTCAGAATTGGTTTTCAGGGTCATTAATCAATCACTCAAAAAAACCATTTCCTATTTTCTATTTATGTTTTTTTGAACTAAATTTGAATTATACACATTTTTACTACAAACCATAGTCATGAAACTTGTTGTGACTTATAGGGGTTTCTAAAAATCTCAATGAGTTTGAAAGCATAAAATTACTGTAATCATTTAGGTACCTCAGCATGTTTTAAGAAGTGGCCAGTTCTTGAAGGCAAAACTGGCATGATTTCTTTACTGATTGGATCTGGGGCATGAAAGAAAGAGAATTAAGGATGATTCCAAAGTTATTGACCTGAGCAATTAATAGTTTAGAAATGTCATTTACTAAGAAAAAATGTAGGAGTACATTTAGCAGGATAAAATCAGGACTTTGTGGACATGTGAAGCTTTAGATGAGGAGTGGGCTATTGGATTTGTTTGCCATTTACTAAGAAAAAATGGAGGAGGAGTACATTTAGCAGGATAAAATCAGGACTTTGGTTGTGGACATGTGAAGCTTTAGATGAGGAGTGGGCTGTTGGATTTGTTTGTCAGGAATTCTGGGCAGAGGTCAGGGCTGGAGCTGTGCATGGAGGGGTCGTCAGTATATGGCTGATACTTAAAATCATGAGCCTTAGTGAGATCACCTAAAAGTGAGCTTAGACAGAGAAAGGAGCTCCATGGAACTCCAATATAGGTTAGTAAGAGAAAAGACACCAGCAAATTAGACTAAGAAAGTTGGTTAAGCAAGGTAGGAACAAAACCCCACGCAGCCAGGTGTATTGCAGCCAAGGGAAGAAATAATTTCAAGAGGGAGGGAGTGATTATCTGCGTTAAATGCAGCAGGTAAGTCCAACCAAATGAGGACAGGGAAATGTCATTTGGTTTAGCAACTCAGAAATCACTGAAAAGCTTCACAGCAGCAGTTTTAGGAAGTGGTGGATACCAAAGCTTAATTGTAGTGAGTTTAAAAAAGAATGGGAGGCGAGGAGGTATATACAAGGAGAGTGAGTAGAAACAACTCTTGAGGACTGCAGGTGTGAGGTAGAGCCAAGAAATAGGATGGCAGGTAGATAAAAGGGCAGGGATAAAGGTGGATTTTTTAAATACAGAAAATAGAACATCGTGTTTGTTTGGTTTTGAAAGGGACTATTCACTAGAGCAACATCTTGACTAGGTGAGAGTGGAACGATCTAGAACATTTGTAAAGGGGTTTGCCTTAGATAGGAATAAATTTACCCTTAGAGACAGCAGGGAATATGGGCACAGATTCAGGAGGTTGGGTGGTTGTGATGATGGGAACACTGAGAAGTTCTTTTCTGGTTACTTTTTTTCTCAGTGCAGTAGGAAGCTGATAATGAGGACGAGAGAGGAGGTGTTGGATAACTGATGAAAAGCAGCTATAAAATAGCTAGTGAAAGTACATGGACTTGGAAATACAGTAGTACTGCCAGGAAGCCTTAAGGGTCTCCCTTATGTTATGGTCAAAGGGAGGCCAGGAACCATATTTGTGTGTTTTTCTCCGGCAATATTCAGCTGCCTGGGTAAAGTCATGGAGTATAAAGAGAGTTGTAAATAATGAGATCTATAGTTTTGTTGGGTAAGGTCAACAACACATAAAAAAGAGATACTTAAATACTGGAACTCTTTAAATCTTACATAACTGATAGTCTCCCAAGGTGAGATAGTAATTTGAATAATTTCTGCTAAGTTTATTTATTAAAAAACTTTTACTTCTTTATGATCACTTCATAGGGTCAAAAATTGCTGCAGTTATTTTAAGAAACCAATAATGTTATTTAATGTAATAGTAAACAGTATATCCTGCTTAACAGAAACATTTGTGGGCCTCTCTTCCTCCTGTTGACTTAATGACATGATTCTGCATTTGTCTTGTTTTATTGCAGAGAAGAGGCGTTCTAAAAGGGACTCAAAAAAAAACACAAACAAACAAACAAAAAAACACCCACCTAGGCCTCCCTTCACATGTTCAAAGTATTAGAACAATATTTTCATTCATGATTAGATAAGCCATCTTTACATATCTTTGAAAATTTGAAATATATAATTGAAAAAGAACAATACAAACAAAACAGAGAAAATTTCACTGTTTTTTTCTACCTGGAAATCTTTCATATTCTTTGTAATAGAGGGTCTTGACTAATGAGGCTTATTTGCTCCTCCCTGTTCTGTGTTCTGATAGCGCCCTGCACATATCTATATTATGAAATTTCTCATATTGTATCTGAGTAACTATTATTTCTCTCCAGTGGTCTGTGACATCCTCAAATAAAGGGCCTGGTCTTACTCATCGCTTTGTTCTCGGCGCCAAAAACAGAACTTGATACATAAAATAGACTCAATAAATATTTGGTGAAATCAATGAAGAAATGGGCTAGTTAGTAACATATATTCATAAATTTAAAGTGGACAACAACTCTTAAGCCTCAATGAATTCTCTCTCTGTTTCATCCTCTGTAAAGAAGAAGGGCAAATAAATCTGATTAGAAATCAGACAATGGTACAAATTCCAGTATTTGTAGAAAAAAAATTTTAATATTTTTTCTTGTTTGATAGTTATTTATGTACTCATATGTATTCCGATAGATTATAAGCTATTTGGAGGAAGGAAATAACCATTTTTAGTGGCATCCTTTATTATCCATTTCACATTTATCTTCTTACCATTGGGATTTTAATGTTCATTTCAGTTTGGGTCCAAGTAAGGACAAGGTAAAAAAAAAATCAAGAAACTACACTTTGATGACATTCAATAATAATTATTTCTTAGTACTTTTCATCTGTGTTTTTTTAATGTGAGTTCCACTTTTATTGGGTACCCAATCAATGTTGAATGGAACCCTATATGATAAAGCAAGGATAGCGTTCCTATTATATAGACAAAATGCAAAAGAATTAAGGAATATCTTGATGATTGTGAAATGCATAAAAATGACTGATATCAATACAGAGCTTTCCTGGTCCAAATTAGCAGTTTACTGAAAGCACAATACAATGTCTTAGAAGCCAATTAACATATGCTCAATAGTTTTTAAAGGATTTAGTCCCCTATACATGCAATCTGATTTAAAATATTCTGTAGAATGAACGCACTGCCAACCAAAGATATTCGGTTGTCTTAGTGATGGACTCTTTAGCCACATTTGTCTCCTCCACACTTTTATATGCCACGTATCCTTTCATATGACTTAAAAAAAAAAAAGAAAAAAACCCCAGCATCCAAAGCAGCAATCACACCATTTACTATTATGTGCTTTGGAAACCAAAGGTAAAAATACCTGGTAAGTTTCTGCACAAGTATGGCACATCTGTGGAGAGTTGTAACAATAAGAAATTTAATTTAGAACCTAATTAAAAACTGAAAAACTGCTAATGAAGATATTCAAGGACTGCTGTCTTAACGATAGCCAACTTTACTATTGACAAAGATGCTCCCAACAGGACTTGAAATTAGCTGATGTCACTATACAAACATGTTCCAGAAAGCCAACCAACAATCAATATTAATGATAATGAGAGTCTGAATTTGCCATGGGGGGAAATCTCTGGGTCTTAGAAATACTTGTATTCCACAACAATCTTTATGAGCCAAAATGGTAGCAATTGTTTTATATATGGTGCGCAAATGATGCCCACCCAGTTAGTATGCAGTTTCAAAAGAATTTTAGCAACAAGGAACACTTATTAGGTCCTTATTACAAATAGAAAAACTAGGCCTGAGATAATTTATTACATATCATAATATTAAAGTTTTATAACAA